AGAGTTTCAGGCGAGGACGACGGCTATTACCTGGAGGTGGCTGGTTACCATGGGAACGCGTCTGACTCACTGACGTCACACAACCTGAGCAAGTTCTCCACGTGGGACGTGACCAACGACAAGGCGCCGCCCTGCTGTCCCTGCGCCAACGCTTACGGAGGCGGCTGGTGGTTCAACAGGTACATACGCCTCCATATCCCGGAACTCGGAAGCAGTTGTGAGAAGTTCCTGTAGAGGGGATACAGGCCCGAATAGTCCCCATTGCACTCCCAACAACGATCTGACACCTATCGTTAATGACCATGAGCCACACCGAACCGGAAAGCTGGGGTGCATGGTGGCCACTAACGCTTTTATCATATATTTATTATTGAGCAATTAGCGTGCACGGTAATAAAAAATGCGGCGTCGACAGGGCCACATTGTAAATCGCTCCCCGAAACGTTCAGCATGCTCCAACACACGCCAATTGGCTGCCTGCCGCGTGCTTCAATGTCACGAGCGGGAGACTAGACAGTCCACAGCCACCGTGTGCCGTGCGGCACAGCATACCTACAGGCGTGCACTGCTAACGCCATATATGTATTGGTAGCTTTCTCAGTGGCGGTCGCAGGGGGGGGCCATCAGGGCCATGGCCCCCCCCAAAGCCAAATCAGGGGGGGCCATCATATCATTTGGCCCCCCCCAAACAACCGATGGGCCCCCATGGCCGTATGGGGCCCTGGCCCGTATTCGATTGTCACGAGGCTCGAGAAACCCACGCCAGCTATTAACAGCTCCCATACCAGTCTTTGAGGGTCCTACACTGACCTCTGAGGGCCCTTCAGTGGCGGTCAAGCGTCCACATTGACCGCTGAGGACCCACATTGACCTCTGAGGGCCCTCCACTGGCCTTTAAGGGCCCCTAAACCGGCCTCAAGGGCCCAACCGGCGTCTGAGAGCCTCACACCGGCCTCTGGTGGCCTCATTTCTGTCTCTCGAGTCCCAAGACTAGACTTTAAGTGTCTCTGAGGGCCCCGCACTGGATTCTGAAGACCCGATGCCGGCCTCTAAGAACCCGCATCGGCCTCTGGGGGCCCATCTTGGCCTTTGAGGGCCCTCCGCTGGTCTCTGGTGTCCAACGCCGGCCCATGCCGGCCTTTTAGGGCCCCACACTGACCTCTGAGGGCCCCATGCTGGCTGGCCTGTAAGGACCCACATTAGCCTCTGAGGGCCCCCGCACTGGATTCTGAAGACCCGATGCCGGCCTCTAAGAGCCCGCATCGGCCTCTGGGGGCCCATCTTGGCCTTTGAGGGCCCTCCGCCGCTGGTCTCTGGTGTCCAACGCCGGCCCATGCCGGCCTTTTAGGGCCCCACACTGACCTCTGAGGGCCCCATGCTGGCCTGTAAGGACCCACATTAGCCTCTGAGGGCCCCCGCACTGGATTCTGAAGACCCAATGCCGGCCGCTCAGGGCCCGCATCAGCGTCTGAGGGCCCATTTTGGCCTTTGAGGGCCCTCCGCTGGCCTCTGGGGTTCAACGCCGGCCCATGCTGGTCTTTTAGGGCCCCACACTGACCTCTGAGGGCCCCATGCTGGTCTGTAAAGACACACATTAGCCTTTGTGGGCCCCGCACTGTATTCTGAAGACCCGATGCCGGCATCTAAGGGCCCGCATCATCCTCTGAGGGCCCATCTTGGCTTTTGAGGGCCCTCTGCTGGCCTCTGGGGTCCAACACCGGCCAATGCCAGTCTTTTAGGGTCCCATTCTGACCTTTGAGGGCCCATGCTGGCCTGTAAGGGCTCACATTAGCCTTTGAGGCCCCCCTGGATTCATTAGACCCGGTGCCGGCCTCTAAGGGTCAGCATCGGCTTATGAGGGCCCATCTTGGACTTTGAGGGCCTTCTGTTGGCCTCTGGGGTCCAACGCCGGCCCATGCCGGTCTTTTAGGGCCCCACACTGACCTCTGAGGGCCCGTGCTGGCCTGTAAGGACCCACCTTAGTCTCTGAGGGCCCGCACGGGCTTCTGAAGACCCGATGCCGGCCGCTCAGGGCCCGCATCGGCGTCTGAGGGCCCATCTTGGCCTTTGAGGACCCTCCGCTGGCCTCTGGGGTCCAACACCGGCCCATGCCGGTCTTTTAGGGTCCTATTCTGACCTTCGAGGGCCCCATGCTGGCCTGTAAGGGCTCACATTAGCCTCTGAGGGCCCCCACACTGGATTCTGAAGACCCGATGCCGGCCTCTAAGGGCCCGCATCGGTCTCTGAGGGCCCATCTTGGCCTTTGACGGCCCTCTATTGGCCTCTGGGATCCAACGCCGGCCCATGTCGGTCTTTTAGAGTCCCACGGTAACCTCTGAGGGCTCCATGCTGGCCTGTAAGGACCCACATTAGCCTTTGAGTGCCCAATTCGGTCTCTGATGGTCTCAAACTGCCCTTTGCAGGCCCTGTACTGGTCTCTGATGGCCCTAAACTGGCCCCTATGGGCCCAAACCAGCCTCTAAATGTCCCACACCGGCCTTTGATGGCCCTATTATGTTCTCTGGGGGGGGGGGGGGCTCAAGCCTTACCTTTGGGCGTCACGCACTTGCCTCTGAAGGCCCACATCAGCCTCTGGGGCCCTACCTGGGGCCTTTGAGGCCCTTCGCTGGCCCTTGGGTCCAACGCCGGCCTCTGGTGGGTCTGACACCGTACTCTAAGGGCCCCATTGCAGCCTCTAGGCGATAGGTATCGCCGAAGCGCTATCGATGGGCCCATAAGTGTAGGAACCATGGGTGCAGTGGGCGCAGTTGCACCAACAATAATTCTGCAGTGGGTGCAGACAATGTATTCTGCATCCACAGTAATCTGGAACAAAACCCCCTTTTCTCAGCAACACTACTTTCCATGCAGCACGACAAATTTAGGATATTTGGCCCACTATCCATCTTCCGAAGTATTGGCTACTGTAATGGCCTTCAAAACTTGCATTTGTGCTCAAGTAAAAAAAAAAAGAAAAAAGATGAAACGGAACACATGTGATTGAACAGTGAACAGATACCGATGACCCATAGCTCGGGGTTACATGAGCAGAGTTAATACGCATTACAAACGGACTACAATGGTGAGCGAATATGGAAAATCCGTTCCTGATACGCATTTACTTGCTCATGTAACCCCGGTAACTGTCAAAAGTTTTAGCACGATGATCTTAGAAAATGGCAAAGTTAGCCGCGCCGCCTTTACTTTTGCGGTAGTCCATTCACAGTTGCGTGAATTATTGACAATATCAATGTTTCAAAATGCACTTATCGGTACCTTTTCGACATGGTACACCCTCAAAGCTCGCATTTCGCAATGAGCCTCCTCTCGGGTGCCGCTCACTACCCCCCCCCCCCCCGCTTCACCGGCCATGGCCTGGATTTCTGCACCCGTGCACTACGTCCGTGGGCCCCTTTAAGCTAGCACCGGGCCCCCCGGGTCAGCGCAGGGGCCCCTTTGACAAGTTGGCCCCCCCCAAACTCCAAGTCTGCGACCGCCCCTGAGCTTTCTGCGTTGGCGCTAGCCACGGAATAACATTGCACATTGTGCATTGTAAAGGCATCTCCACTGGGTAATACTTTTCCAGGACAACAATAATAATATAACTTATAATTAATAATTTAATCTTCATTTATCGGATAATTATAAATGGTAATATTGATATTGAAGTAAATGCGAAGCTCCACCAGGCAACCAGCGAAGTTCTAATATCGCAACGAGGGAAACAATAACTCAGCACTTACCTGCTTTCGCTGGCAGCTGTTTCGAGTCCAACTTGAACGGCGAGTACCACACGCGGCCGCGTGACAACGACCACTACCACGGCATCATCTGGGAGCTGTGGAAGGGCGACTACTCGCTGAAGTCGTCCGAGATGAAGGTGCGCGCCATGTCGTACGTCAGGGAGCCGGCGCTGGCGGACGGGTCGGGCGGCACCGCGCCGCCGTCGCCGCCGCCGGCCGACCCGGCCGGGCCGTCCGGGCAGCTGGGTGTCGGCACGACGAGCGGTCCAGCGCCGACCGCCGCCGAGCCGCCCGTCACCGAGGCCGCTCCGCCGGACGTCAGCACGCCGGTAGATCTGGGCGTGGAGCCGCTGAACGCGTGAGACGGCCCGCGTACCACAGCCGGCGACCGGGCGGCCGCACCGCGGGCGCCAGAATCAGCATACCATAACACAGACAGGAGCACAGCTCGCTAAAATGGAACGGAACAGCCCGACAGACGACAACTTTAATGTAAATAAGCGTCTTACACCTGTATCAACACCATATACTGTTATATCGCGTTTTGCTGACCCTCTTAGGCGTCATATTCGTGCGCATGCATGTTTTCGCTGTGCGACCTATTGACAGCCCATACCATTTCCGTTATTACCATATCACTGTTTCTATTAGCCATGATATGCCCAACTTCAACAGGCAGATCGAGGCAAGTCGATCGGGTCAATAAGACCAAGAGATTTGTCAACTCACTCATCAGTGTAGCTTTTCATTGACATGTTTTGCATGTTATTGGTGTTAAACTTGTGCTTAGGTAGCGCACTGTTTATGAAGAACTTCATGCCGGTTACGCACATGTGTCTGAATCTGAATAGTGTATAAAGTATAGAACAATCTATGCTTGTGAATTTGTCTGCGTGGTTGTGTGGATCGAGGCAAAACAACGTTTGAAGATCGCCATGAACGCAGCAAGTTACACTGAAACACTCAGGAATGCGTACCACGTATTGTATTACAGCATTACAGAAATAGACACTGTACTGCACATTTGCACTATGAACGTTAGGGACACCGGGATCTCTGAATTACTATCCAACGTCCTATCACCACGCTTTCTTCGCCCACCGATAGCAATGTTTTCGGGCAGGGACGGCGGGGGGGGGGGGGGGAAGGACAGGACTGCCTCTATCGCCACATGTCTACAACACCAAAAAAAAAAAACTGAAAGGTGCACCAGCTCAGCTTCATCTCAGAAGCGCAGGCAGTTGCCGGGAGGAGCACCCAAGCACCCATTTTTCTCCCGTCGTTTGTCCGTGATATTGGTGCGCTCATGGTCTCTTCTGACATTATGAGCCTGAAACATAGATGAAACGTGCTATAGTTCGTTTTTTTTTAAGTTCGACCCTCACTGTAATCGTCTCTTTGAACACAGCACGAGAATTGCTAGCTGAATTGCTGAGAAAACTGGTTAGCGCACATTATATTGGAGTAATTACGGAGCGAGCGAAGCGAGCGGAGTCTTACGTAGAATACGGAAATTTCTGAGTATGAGCAGCCGGCCGGCCGTGGTCACGATTCTGCGACGCTTATATCTCAGCAACCACTTGACCGATTTACATGCGGTAATTTTTGTAGGGTAGCTTCATTCCTTCTACCAAGCATTGGACGATTCCCGATGCATGTGGGTGACCCCTTATGCACGTGCCACGTGCAAAACGAAGAGGTGTCACTTTTGTAATTGTTGCAATATCTCGTAACTACTGGGCCGATTGCGCTGAAAGTTGGCATGTAGGTAGGCACCCACTAGGCAATGCATATCCATGTGCCAGAGTTGGGGTGCTGCTGCACGTGCGCACGTGCAGGGGTCGTTTCCAGATTTCGAGAACGGCTGGACCGATTGCGCTCAAATTTGGTACATGGTTAGGGACCAGTTAGTAGGGTGCCGTGCACAAGTCACTTAACCCGCGCCCTGCTGGGGGGGTGTTTGAACACCCCCCCTTGTCGTTTTCCGCGAATATCTCAAAAACGGCGGCGCGGAGCGCCGCCGTTTTTGGTACACCTTATCATACATCAATTCTACACATGTTGTGAAAATTTCAGACCAAGGTCATTCAAGGTCAGGTCACCAGGTCACTTGAAGTGACCTCACCTCATAAAAACTTTCAAAGTCTGTCATAGCTACACCGAGTGACCGATCGCTTTGAAACTTTCAGCGATTGCTAAGAGCAATAGCATGTACAAAATGTATATCTCAGAATTTTGATATCGATCACCTAAGGTCAGGTCAATTTTGCGACCTCCCCATTATAAGTCAATGGGAGAAAATTGAAATGCGCCTCTTTTGGAAGAAAGACATTATAAACACTCCCAAACACCGAATTACAAGTGGTTTAGACACACTGAACTTAAAAATGGTGTCCGTGACCCTTGTTTATGCCCTGAGGTCATCTTAGGTCACGAATGGTATCTAACAGTTTTTCGCAAATAACTTTTGATAGAGGCATGCTAGAGCGATGAAAACGCCTTAGATGTGTTCAGCTCGACGATACGGATCGACTGATATGCAACATGACCCTTTCCGGTCAGGTCATGACCTTGACCTGAGGTCAAATTTTCAAGTTGACCTTTCAAGGTCAAGTTATAGTTCATTAGATGCGTCTTGACGAGAGGAACACGATGCCGGTAAAAGTAAGCTCGTACAAGGCTTGGGTCAAAAGTTATTGCAGAAAAACTGTTTTAAAAAAAATCGGCTATTTTTGCAGTTTTTGCCCCCTGCAGGCAAAACCGTTGACGTTAGGTCAAAGCTGAGAGAATTACTCAGAAAGGGCGTTAATAGGGCTATCGAATGCGCTTTTCCGCGGCGCTGTAGCTCTATTGGTTCCCGAGTTATGCGTTGGCTTCTTGGAAATTTTCGACATTCGACCTGGAAATCGGCGAAATTTTGCCTTCAATGACCTCTGGTGACCTGACCTTTGACCTGACCAAAAAATTGACCGAAGTGATTTCGTCATTATTTTTTACGCTCTTTCGAACGCCGCCTTCCGCGTATCGCTACGTGGCCCAGGAGCCGAGTTACAAGGGGGGGTGTTCAAACACCCCCCCCCCCAGCAGGGCGTGGAAATCCAGGACCCCCAGCAGGGCGCGGGTTAAGACCCATTTTGCACGTGCGCACGTGCAGGGTGCCGCTTCCAGATCTCGAGAACGGCTGGACCGATTATGCTCAAATTTGGCACATCGCTAGAGACCGGTTAGTAGGGTGCCGTGCACAAGTCAGTTGAGGTACCCCCTCGAAATTTCGCACGTGCAAGGCCCACCCTCTCGCTCGCTCCGTTAGTCGCCCCAAAAGGCGTTATACTGGTGAATAATAATTGCCTAATAACTTTTAAAGGGACCCTCCCACCTTAACATTAGATTTGAGTTGAGATAGCCAAAATGGGGTCCCTGGCTCACAATTACCGGTTTCGGCACTCACAACATCGAGAAATGCCTTAAATCGGAAATATTGAATTTCAAAATTGCAGCATTTTGATTCAGAGGGGCTAATGCATAGGAATACCCCTCTGAATGTGTGACGTCATCGCAGATATCTAACGATTTTTAAATGTTTGACTAAAACGTTTTGTAGCACGCAATGGTATATGCTGCTTTGCGCGCAACAAATGCCGCACTTTCAAATAAAGTCGCTAGGAACAGCGGAGATCCCAAAAAGTAAACAAAAGTAAAAGTCTAATATCTTCAAACCGGTGAATATTTTTTGATGAAATTTGGTAGATATTCGTTTTTGCTCTTTCTGAACCGAGCGACATCACTTTCATGCCAATTCATTAACTTTTTTGAAGGTGGGAGGGTCCCTTTAAACGCCGATAATATACCGTCATGTTAGACCCCCTGCAATTTACTGATAAGGTCTGTTATCATTCCTGGCAAGTCGTCTATCCCTGTGGTTTTGTAAGCATAGGCAAATACGAGCTGCAAGTCTGGGAAAATACATATCAGGTAGAAATAATTTTGATGAATTTGATCGTCTGTGAAATCAATGTGCACCAACCAGTTTTCTCAGTAATTCAGCCAGCAATTCTCGTGCAAAAAGACGTGTTCAAAAAGACGTTTACAGTGAGGGTCGAACTTAGAAAAAACGAACTATAGTCACTTACCACTTACACAGAAGGTACAATATACTTTCGACTTTGGCTTAGCTACCCGCCACCCAGATACTGAGTCTTTACAATAAAAGCGAATCGCCAAGATCGATTCTCTGAAACTGAACAGCTAACTTCGCGGCGGTAAGCGCATTTCGCAATTACTTTGAGGAATTACAAAATGACATCGCCAACCAGATGCACTGGTGTATGTCTAATGTATGAGTCAATTTGTATTTGTATTTGCCATCGTAGAGCGGTCCACTCAAAGTGTGGCTATTAAGCTCCGAGTCAAACATGGTCGCTGTCATGGATAAAAAAAAAAAACACACACACACACACACACGCACTCCTACACGGTACACAGGGCTACCCCTGTGCTGTGGCGGCCACGGCTGTCGGAACGGTCACGTTCGGTGGAGATCCAGCAGGCGTCTTTTCACGGTACGTGAAAAACGCTGCTGGCTAAGCGGTGTCAGGTCACTCGACAGCTGGTTGTAGAGGGCAGGTGCCCTCGAGCAAAAGCGTCTCTTGCCGGTCTCGGTGTTGGACCTCGGCACGTAGAGCTGCCCGTCCTGCCTCGTGCGCCGGGACCGCCGGTCACCGTTGCACACGAATGCAGCCGCCAGTGACTCGGGCTCGCCACCAGCAATCACCTTGTGCGCCAGACACAGTGTACGGTGGTCGGCCATGTGCTGAGCGGGCAGCCAGCCAAGTTTCCCGCGCAGGTCACTAACATGATCAAATTTTCTCTTACCAAAAATGACTCGTGCAGCAAAGTTCAGTACCTTTTGAATTCTGTCAATGTTTTTCTTAGTGCCGTTGCCGTAGACGGAAAGGCAGTATGTGACCTGCGAGAGAACCAAGGCGGCTACAAGTGTCTTGATGACACCGACAGGCAGGACGTGACGGACATGTGACAGCGCGACAAGAGTACCGCTGCATCGCCTGCCGACGACACCCACGTGACTGTCCCATGATAATTTCTGGTCGAAAATAACGCCAAGATTTTTTACCTCGCGGCAAGGTACGAGGTCAGTGTTGCGGAAGGCAATTTTGATGTCTGGAAGGCCCGCGCAAATGTTGACCTGTTCCGAGAGTGATGAGCTGTGCGTTTACTTTAAGGGCGTTTGCGCAGAACCACTGATCCAAAGCAGTCAATGAGTTTTCCATGCTATGATTAACAGCCGAAAGTTCGTTCTTTTTGCCAGAGACAATCACCTGGGTGTCGTCAGCGTACTGCACGACACTTGCACCCGCAGCGAACAGTGACATGTCATTTGCAAACACGGTAAACAAGAGGGGGCCCAGGGCAGACCCTGGGCCAAGCCAGCCTCAATGAGTCAATGACGTGGCGAGCCAGCTTGCAATTCACCCACCACTTTCGAATGTGTGACACAATCCATTTGCTGATGCTGTGGCGAAAAACTTCCCGTCGCCGATGCCGCGCTGGTCATGGTGATGATGCCGTGGCGACGCTTTCCACTAAACCTGGAAAATAAGAGCTAATGTAACAGCAGTGAAATGCTAGCACACAAACCCACAACCCAGAGGCGATGTACACAAGAAACAGATGGACCATGTAAGATGTCCCCTCTTCACTACACCCTCGGCCACGTCAGGGAAAAGGATTGTCGCATGCTCAGACACTTTAGTTATTTCTCGAGCCTTTCAGCCGCGCTAACGTTCTAATTCATTCGGAGTATCACACGACTGAGCTATCCCAAATCAACGTAATAAATATATTGCTTGCACCTACCACAAAAATACGCACTTGTGCTCACCTTAAGCCATTGTCAGTTATCAGAACATCACTCTCCAACATGTATTATACCGTCTCACTGAACCCTTCAACATTCAATCCTACACGTCATTCTTTCCCTGCAGCCAACGTCTGAACGGCCATCTGGTACTCACCGTCTCACCCTGGACCAAGGAGGTCGCCGTCGGGGCGGCAGCACGCTCCTCCAGCGGCCAGCCGTTATGCAGAGGTGACCCGGTCATCATAGGCGGCGGAACGCTTGGAGACAATGGGGGGCACCGACTAGAGGGGTCAAACCTAGGGTATCCCAAATTCGTGCTTTCTCATCGGATTTAGGCCACTTATTTTTCGTCACAGCCCTGGCACGATGAATATTACAAAAAAAAACGAAAAAAACAGAAATGGTACCCCACCCATCCCATGCTTTTGTATTTTAGTTCGTTTTTTTTTTTTCAAAAGGACTCTGGCTCTAAGCACGTTTTTCGTAAAAGCACGCGTTTTAGCGAGCAAAACGAGCAAAAACTTAACCTGAGAAACTCGAACGTCGCCTTATTTTAACATGTGAAGAATTCCCAATAATTTCCATACGTGCATTTTGGAACCAAATATGAGAACAGTGGTGACGTCATGCTGGCGAACTTGTATTGCAATGTAACGTATAACTATCATGGACGAAACCGCTTACTCGATTACAACCTCGGCAACAGTGAAAAACGAAGTTTCCCCCAAATTCGTCGAAACTGTGTCCCATCGTACGGACATTGGGTGCCTGCTGCCACCAGTGACGTCATCATAGTATGCTGATTTTTCAAGACACAATTTCCGGGTACTTACCGTGCACAATTTGAAATCGAATATTTTTTCGGTAAGAAATTCTTGGCCAGACGCTGAAGCTGCCAAAACTCACGTGAGAGCTTCGATCAGGAACTTGGAGCCAGCGTCCTTTTGAAAAAAAAAAACGAACTATAGTTTGTTGCCCCTCAGTTTGCTCCACCAGACGTTGAGAAAGCTTGCTTCTTTACATCCGCGGCTGGTAGATCACCCGACCCAGATTCGGGTCGGTGTGACAGGGACCAGGGTTCCATGAGCAAAGCAAACACGTATTAGGAACGGATTCACCGCTAATGCGAAATAAGAGCGCATTACCGACTCATGTAACCACCTTCAGAAAAACAACCACCTAAAAATAAACTTATGCCCATCTGCACTGGACCGCATACAGTCCCGACCTGTCCGGCCTGGATTTCTCGTTCTGGCCCCAAGCTTTGGATCGCGTGGTGGAATCGGAGCCGGAAACAATCAAAGAACTGAAAAAGGTCGTGGAGGACTTCGCCAGAAGCATAAGTGAGGAGCAGCTAAGGAAGATGGCACGGCACACACGGCGCCGGGCTGAGCCGTGGGTGGCGGGGCGAGGTGGTTACTTTGAGCACCTTCTGTAGGAGACACAAGTGGCAAGCGGTGATCGCGATGATGTCATCATAAATGATATAACCTCCTAAAAATGCATTGAGTGATTTGATAACGTGAGATGAAAACATATCTTTCTGGTGCCTGCCTACTTTGTTCCATTCATTAATGAACACCCGGCCCCGTTCGCCACATTAAATGATGCAAGACGTCAGCACACACACAGCTATACAGTCATGCACTGAGCCAAGTTGAAGAGCGTCTGCAACATTTTCTGGTCCTCCGGGCCGGATCATCCCGGCCAGAAGTGAGAAGTCAGAGGAAGAGGTCCAGGGGAACAGCCCGCAGTAGCAGCCCGCGCCAGTGTTCGTCAAGTGGTACCAATGCGCCCCCTGCGATGCGATCTCCAAGTGAATGAAGGCTGATGGAAGATCCACAGAACAGAAGGTGCCGCAGAACAGGGTCGACGGCGGAATGAAGGGAGGAAGAGCCGCCGATGAGCTGAAGGTCCTGAAACTGCAGCATGGTCACAAGGCGGCCGTGCCTCGTACCTGTAACAAGGTTGAGGTACAGTTCGCCCCAAGTGCAAACGAAGAACAACTTAGAAAGCGGCTTGAGACCCTGACTGAACACGGCGCTGGAATGCTTCCTGGAGACAAACGGTGATTAGGTATGTGGAGAAGGTGTAGGAAGTGTGTGAGCTAGAGCTGAGGCAGAGGAGTATGCCGCCCGGTTGACGGCACGGCACGCCTCAGCAATCAAGGCGATTAAAGAGGCCATCAAGTTGAAGTCCGCAGGCTGCTCAGCGTCCGAGACAGAGGGGAAGCCGATGTCGCTCGCTTCACGGTGAGACGGAAGTAAGGTCAGTGGATCCCGGGCTTCAAAATGCTCAAAGGCCTGAACGGTATCAAGAGAGGCTGAAATAACTGCGGAAATGAAAGCCCTCGAGCTGAAGCACCTCAGGGCAAGAAAGGAACAAGAAAGGCAGAAGAAGAAGCAAGAGGACACGCTGAAGGAGCAAGAGGACATGCTGAAGGTGCAAGACGACATGATGAAGAAGAAGCCTATGGAGGAAGAGGTTGTACGAGCGCTTGCGAAAGCAGTCTCTGCAAAGCGGCTGAGAGCGACCTCGAGTGGGAGAGACGGCACGATTTCGACGGCGAGAACGTCGCTCTGGTCCCCAGGGAGTGCAATGTGGCAGTGGGTCTAGTAACGGTCGATCTGCCTCAGCGTAGACCACCGCCGCTTGAAGAGCGCAAAAAAAGGCCATCTGAGGAGCAGATAGCCGCAAACAACGCCAGAATGCCGAGCAAGAACGAACAACATCCAGCTAACTGGATGACAGATGTGCTCTCTGGGCAACAGCCTGTTTTCCATCAACAATCGGCGTTTGTGAAGAGCATCCCACGTCTGGCCCTGCCGACGTTCCTAGGAAGCGCTCAAGAGTGGCCACGCTGGACTGGGCTGTTTAAAGCTTTAGTGCACAATCAGCCGTCGTTGTCAGACTCCGAGCGCATGGTACACCTTCAGAACGCGTTGGAAAGACCAGCTGCCCAAGCAAGCAACGGCATGCTCTTCAACGGGGAACTCTACCAGGAGCAGAGAAGAAGACATGCAGGCCCATCTGCGAAAGATCTTCACCTGCACCCCGCCATCTCTCATGGATCTCCCAGCCATGGAGCAATTCTACTCAGTCGTCCACAACACGGTGACAGTTCTTCGTAATCTGGGCTACTTAAGTGGCCTAGCGAGCGGCGAAAACCTGAGAAGAGCGGTGGAGAAGCTACCAGCCGAGCTCGGTCGAAAGTGGGGCCGAGAAGTGAATAGACTCCGACCAGTGCGACCTACCCCGGAGACGTTCAGCTCATGGCTGAAGACGGAAGTTGATGTCCTTAGCCACTCTGGTAGCCAGTTTGTGACGAACGGCAGGACAGGAGCAGCCAAGTCCAGGGACGGTGGGACGGCAAGAAAGTCGGCATTCGCGACAGGCGTCACGTCTCCGGCAGATCGCAAGTTCAAGCATCATCCGCTGCTTCATGGCAACAAAAGACAAGCGGAAATCAACAAACCTCGGAAGGAATAAGGCAGTGGCAGCGTACCGTTTGTGGCGGCTTCGCTGAGTGTAACATTGTCAGCCGCTGTAGGCCATATGTCAGAGCTTGTGCGACCGAGGCGACCCCTACTCGGAGTCGTCGACTGCGCCGGCCGCCGCCGGGTAGTCAGTCGCAGTCACGGTCTCAGTCTTGGTCGGTATTAGTCGTGGTCAGTCTCTGCCGAGTCTCGGCAGCCCACCGACGATTCGCGCTCAGTCACTCGCTATGTGACTCAGTCTCTCTTGCTCTCGGTCACTCTCCTAGACTGTCTCTATCTCTCTATCTCTCGTCTGTGTCGAGTCAAGAAATACAGTGAGGTGCCGAACTGAACTCTTTTTATCAAGAAGATTCCACGGCGAACATTTTAATTTGTTACACTGAGCGAAGGGACGGAAACACTGCTCCAGGTAGTTCGGGTCCAAGTCCCTGGCACCAGAGGTTCAAAAGAGGTTCTTGCGCTGCTCGATACCGGGGCGCGAACATCCTTCTGCCATAAAGTCGTTCTGCACGACCCGGATGCCGGATCGCCGGACACCGTCGCCAACTCCGAATTCAGAACGTGGAAGAAAGTGGCGTCCAGAGGCCCTCGCAGTGCGTCTCACTGACCATAAGCGCACTGGACTCTGATGGAAGGAAGAGTGACATCCAAATCCCTGAAGTGTGGTCCGTTCCAGCTCTCAACGTGACTGCGACTGTGGTAGCGAGAAGCCAGCTCAAAGGATGTGAACATCTTCAAGGACTGGAATTCCCACAGTACGACGGTGGGCAAGTGGAACTGCTTATCAGAGCGAACGTCTTGGAGGCGATCCTGCAAAGAGAGCCGCGTGTGGGACGCCCGAATCAACCAGTAGCAGTGAAGACCGACGTCGGGTGGGCACTGACAGGATCGGCTTCGACCATCGTTCCCAGTAGCTAGAAGTGAATATATCGGTTCGAAGTTCACTTTTAATTTAGTTCAGCGTCGAAAAATACCAGTAAAATCATGAAAAATATTACTTATGACCCTGATAAAATCTGGTCCAATTGTCTTTCAATTTGTTTGATTGCTATCCCCGAAAATGCTACTTGTTTTCAGAAGTTCGGTGTGACATTCAGTTCAGTTCAAAATGACTGAATATATAGTTCATTCAGTTCAGTTTTCCTGCGTCTCACCTTGACTGACAGTTTATTCAGTTCAGTTCAGATCACGGCATGTAAGTGCCTCCGTTCAGTTCTTTCATTTCAGCTCATTCAGTTCAGTTCACAACCGTTCTGGCCCTGGTCTCATTGTATCTTGCACTAATATCAAACAATAATTGCACTGTAATTACGATTTTTTTCTTTGCAGACTATGTACTGTCGCCACTTCAACATGACGTGCAGATGCAACGCAACCGGCTCCGATCCGAGGCGATTGACAAACAGCAGCGCACTGCACTGATGGCAGTCACCTTCAGCGACCGACGCAATCACGTCGTCAGGCTGGGAACAACCGTGAAACGGCTGCTGGATCTCTACCTGCTCTGAAAGATCCTGAAGAGGTATGCCCCCATTGTTGCCGTTTTCTACCTCCGATTGAGGTAGAAAACGGCAACAATGTACGATGTATGTACATTGTTGCCGTTTTCTATGAATCACCTTGAAGAGTTCATATACTACCCTACCTACCCCCAACTTTCGTTTTTCTACATCTTCCAGGAGCCAAAATACCAAGGAGGCCGAAATTCTCTCCCCCCCCCCCCCCCCACCACCATCTCCAGAGTGATCACGAGAGACAGAGAGCAGGGAGCAGAGGGAGACACCAGACACTGGAAGTGGAGGGGGAGGGACAAGCGTAATCGAACGAGCGCCGAACTGATAGCGCGACAAATTAGTCTATGTCATAAGGGCCTAATGGGTGCCAAATTTAATGTCGCCATCTGCGAAAACCCCCCTCTCGGCTCTGGTTAATCTCCTATAGTTCGCTCCCTCGCCACACGTCTTCCCCGGCATGATTTTTTATCGGGATCAGCACCCGCACTAAACATACCATGTTGTGCTGACCCCGATCCCACCACCCGATCGCGCCATTCTAGCTCTATGACAGAATTTAGTTCGAACGACGTGTTTTCTACCGGGCACAACCCCCTCCGCTCACTAGTCTTGACCCCTCCGACCCCTTCCGACGAACCGTTTAGCGCCGTTTGTTTGTTTGTTAATTGGGGCTTTAGGGCGCGCCGACTACTTACCGTCTACTTCCGTTTAGCGCCGTTTCCATGACACTTGGGGAAGCGGCTTCGTGATGTAATCCATTTAATCCACTTGATCCATTTAATTATAATAACGGACTATCTAAAGCATTGTATGTGAGTCACATTTGCTTTCTATGTGGCAGCAAACTAACTTAACTTTTTTTACTTCAGATCTGGCTCGAGATGAGCCGCATGGAGGGTGCCGTCGAAGCTCCGACATCGAAGCTGAAGGAATCCGTGTCCTGTTGCTAGGCTCCGTGTCCTGTTGGACGCCGCCCAGGTGCTGACAGGATGTCAAGGTAATTACTGTAATGCCGTCGATTTATAATTCATCACCATTAGTATGTGTGTTTGGATGGTATGGGGAAGGTGTAACAAACCAATAGGTATGGCGAGGGTTAAAGAGTTATATATGAGGACATGTCAAAACAATATTTATTTTATCTTTCAGACACGGACACGGTCAAGATCGAAGCCATGATGGAGTATCTGCTAGTCAACTACAGCGACGTGATCGTCGACGACTTCAGAACGCCACGCTCGCCCTTCATTCGGGACGGTAGTGTGTGGGTGGAAGGGGTGAAGGTGTTCGCCTTCGAAGAAGGCACACCCCTGAGTGTCGTTCTGCTCACGTGGGCTGCCGTGTTCCCTATATTAAGAGGTTTTTCAAAAACCCAGCAAGCCAATGAAAAACCGCTGCGCCGACAGGCTTCATGCCCTGAAAGCCGAGGAAAGGTAAGCTGTTGCTGCTGCTGTTCTGCTGGCGTGCGTCGCCGTCGCCCATGCGGACACCGGCGTCTCAGCCACTCGGTCGGAGGCTACGGAGGCTAGTGTAGCATGAGGCTATAGTGAAGCATGACCTCTTTTAGTCAACTTTGGACATGGTTATATTGAAGCATGGCGTCAAATTTTGAAGAAAAAAAAAAGCTTCCCGCCCGGCGCTGGTTGAGTCCAGTAATGGCAGCATTTCTTCGTAAATTGTTCTTAACGCGTGCCATATTGGCAGTTTTCTCAGTTGCAATGTATGGTCCTGGTGTTCTTTGCTACGCGAAAAGTGTTTATGGATAAACTTATGTGACTTTCATTTTCCAGGTGTGGAACGAGGTAGACAGAATGGCCGGTGTCCCTGTGGGCGTCCGAATGGCGGAGGTGCGACATCGCTACAACAAGATCCTGAAGAAAGCAGCTGACCTCACTGGATGTTCTGAAGGTACGAGTATGCTTATTCTGGAATGGGAGTTTGTTGTTTGCTCAGGGTAAAGGTGCCGTACTTAATAACATCTGAATCTATCCTGAGTTATGCTTTACTTTTTTCCACTCTGTTTGCCGTTCCGTTCTTTTTTCAACCGGCGGACATCTGTGTGCATCTGGGTACTAGCTAGTGTATGTAGGTCGTGATGCTATGATCGATTAATGCGGTCGTAGTTGGGGTCGGAGTTGGTCTAGGTTGAGTGAGTTGACCAGGGTCTGAGTAAGTGGAATCGTGTTTGTGATTACAGATCGGGCCGCGGAGGCTCTCGCCAGGCTGTTCCGATGTGACCTGGAGACTGTCATGGAGGGATGCGGAGAGCCTGAGGCCCCTTCTATCGTGGATGGGGTAGTGAGGGTGGAGGGGGAGGAGCTCTTCAAAATAGACGGCTCTAACACCCCGGCAACGTCGCTTCTTTTTTGGGGAGCTATCATCTTGGTGTTCAACCAGAAGTGCACGGGAGCTGCAAGGAACCTTGGCAACTTTCTAGTTGAGAAAGTGTTTGGATATAAAGAGGGCAACACAGTGCCAAAAATGTTGCGCCCCGTGGTGGACCTCCTCACAACTTAAAGGGATGTGTGTAAAGTGTCGGTGTGTTTGTGGGACACCGTGATGATTAGAGAACGCAGTGTTCCAACTGCCGAGCATCGCGCTGAAGCTCTTTCTGGAACAATGGACGCAGCTGCTACGTATGTGACGCACCTTTCTTTGAGTGACCTTTCTTTGTTCTTTTGCATTTCGGCACTTACTGGAACTTGGCAAGTGTTAAGTGTTAGTTTTTTTCGTATTTTGTCAGAATTGAGTAAGATCGGGCCTCCCCGAGCTGTAAAGCGGGGTCGGCCCGATGAATGGTTTTCTTGCACAGAATGAAGATGAACATACAGCGTCCTTTTCCGTGGAATCGCCGTGAATACCCCCGGTTGTTGAATACATTGCAAACCGTTTGATATCAGTCTGTCGACATATTTTTCACAAGGATTAAACCGACGGTGGGGGGATGGATATCGTCGTGCCGAACGAACGTGACTTGGAACAGGACACATAAAACGCACCCATTTCTTTACATTTCACAGAGCCACCCACATGTGATGCCTGCACTCGTGCCCTGACTATTGGACACATACTCATGAACTCTGTCAAGTACCGCAATATCAGATAAGATCTACGAGAAACATGTATTCGCACTGGTAACAGGGTTATCATGCATGCTGTTATGGGTGAAGAAAACTGACTGGAGATATCGAGTATTTCATGAGGCACTATTCAGGCCTCCCAGGCGTGTTGAATTGTTACGCGAGTTGTATTATACTAACATTCCTTTTACAGCTTGTCTTCTCAGCTTCGTTCTACTGAATATACGATATAAATGTAGCCCAGCGGGCGCTCAGCACCCTGTTCGATTACTTAATTACTTACTTTGTCTTCCGTGTTTCTAACGGGTTTCCCTAACATTATCTCCCTTTGATTCTTGCGAATAATTGTGTTCCTGAGGTCTTGATCTTACCCGAGCTACGGAGGCCACGGCTACGTCAGATACGGGGGCGGCTATGGACACGGCTACGGGGGCGGTTACGGCGGCCACTCGCACGGTTATGGAGGCTACGGCCACAGCCATGGCGGCTACGGTGGGAGTTATGACGGCTAAGGTTACGTTTGTTGTACGTAGGTACTTTGATGCTGAATTTACGTTTGTAACGTTTGTGGTACGGTACGTTTGTGGTACGGCACAAACGTACGTACGGTACGGTTACGTTTGTTGTACGTAGGTACTTTGATGCTGAATTTACGTTTGCGACGTTTGTGGTACGGTACGTTTGTGGTACGGCACAAACGTACGTACGGTACGGTTACGTTTGTTGTACGTAGGTACTTTGATGCTGAATTTACGTTTGTGACGTTTGTGGTACGGTACGTTTGTGGCTCGGTACGTTCGTGACGTACCATTTGTGACGTACGGTACGGTTACGTTTGTGTTACTTTTTCACGTTACTTGTTCAAATACATTAATGATGTATTTTTCACGTACGTTACACGTTTATGGCGAGTTTACTAACATCTAATTTCCGGATATGTTAACACAAATAAGTTTATGTAGCCAATAATTATCCGAGCCCAGAAACACCAGTGGTGTTATTGAACACTTAACATCTTTAATGCGAGCTATTTTACACGTTATTCGATACGCTATAAACATGTTGGCGAGTTATCGAACTCGGTAACACGTCTTTATCGAGTTACGGAACACCACTTTTTGGAAAGTCAAAACTCATACCGAGTTATGTGGCACGGATTTACCGTGTATGAGAAAACACGGTGGCGTGTTATGAGATACGGCTGTACCGAGTCGTTTTTGGCCATATAACACAAAACGTGCTATCATTTTTTTACAGTGTAGCCGCATTTGTTTTAAAGGTAGTGTGCCACCTTTGAAAGATTTCCCATTTTATTTTTCCTAGGATAAGAAGCTTCTGTTTTTACCTAATATCGCAAAAAAAATCAAAAATGGGCCTGGAATAGTGCCTTTTTCGCCTAAAAGTTTATCGGTTTTTAGATATGTATAACAACTGTAGTGGGCTCACCTGCAAACAGGCGTCGGGCAACAATCGCGAATGCGGCGCACTTGTGACAATAAGCAAAGGTCATTATAGTGTTACGACCATACGACGTACGGGAATGAGTTATCAGCTGTCTAATCGTAGACAACACAATGTCGAGCCTTAAACTGTAAGCCCGTATTGGTACTGTTTCTTTTATGTGGCTGTCGAACATTACTTATGGTTTGAAATATGATTTTATGTAAAATAATTGATATGAAAAAGCCGTCTTATAAGTTATGACCCCATTTCACCACACGCAAGTGGCAGAAATGACAATGATCAGCTGACGCATTTTTCTTGGCCGAAGTCAGAGCGCGCGGCCCGACGCACCACGCGTATTTGGAAATTCCGACCTCGACGAGCATCAGAAGCCACCTAACAGGCGTGTTCGAAACCGCAGGAGATGATGATGAACGGGTTTATCGAAACTTGATTGGATGAGCATATCGGTAATAGCGATTTCAGTGTGTGCATTTATTGTTCATAGTGGTGTGAAATGTGGTTGGGGTACGACCGACAACCCGTCGGGGCGAATTTCGCACTGGGGTACTCAAAATTTGAAGAATTTAAGACGTTTCCATGAGTTTTGAAGGTATGGATAAGTTCTAAAAATCCGGTTCTCCTTATCTGGGCCATTAACTCCATACGGTCCAAGAAAGCTGGCACACTACCTTTAACATCATGAACGGCACGTATGCCACCCACATGCTACACACTTGTTTTTATTTGTCCCAACCGCTCTGGCATTTCTCGAACTCCCTGACCGGTCAGTGAGTTTGCAAACTCCCTAGTGAATTTGCAAACTCACTGATGGGTCAGGGAGTTTGCAAACTCCCTAGTGAGTTTGCAAACTCCCTGACCCATCAGTGAGTTTGCAAACTCACTAGGGAGTTTACAAATTCACTAGGGAGTTTGCAAACTCACTGACCGGTCAGGGAGTTTGAGAAATTTCAGAGTGATTGGGCCAAGTAAAAACAAGTGTGCAGCATATGGGTGGCATACGTGCCGTCCGTGATGTTAAAACAAAGGAGGCTAGCTCTAAGGCCACGCACGCTGACAAAAAGCTTATAGATCATATGCACACCATAAATACTTTTTTATTTTAATCTGTTCAGTGATTTACCCATGCATGTACCGCCGCCTTATTTAGTTATACATTTATTTAGTTCACGTCCAAATTAGACCCGTTCCACTCAAGTGTGGCTATTCCAGAGTCAGGCTAAATATATCAAAGTAGAAACAGCTGACTGTTGGTCACTTATGCTAAAGCACAGGCACACGCATCAATTCACGCCCATTCCCACTCCGCCATAGACGTGTCATCGAGAGCCGGCGCTGCTGGCAGCCCGCCCAGCTGCGACTGGCGCACGCTGCTTGTTTGTTTTTGTTTTGTTGGGTTAGGCCCTTTCGGTCTGACAAGACCATTTCAGAGTCGGACGAATGATAGAAATTATAGGGGGAGACATTGGTCTGGGCAGACACCCTAGCGAGTCACCGGGGCTGAGCCCGTCCGAAATGACAGACCGACCAGCCCCCCAAGCACTCTTTGCACCCGGCTATGGGGTGCGCTCCCTCGGGAGCAGCGAGCGGTGCCGCTCCAAGGGAGCAGCCCGCATGAGTTAAAGGTCCCTGTCCAGCCCAGAGTGAGGGTTTCGGCGTGGACGAGAAGGATTTCAGTATCCTGATTCCTGAGGATGGAAACCACGGAACGGAGGAGCACGTTGCTCCGAACCTCCCCTTTGCATAGCCGCGAGTAGCATTTTTTTCGGTAAAACAATGAATGATCTGTAAACTTTTTGTCAGCGTGCGACGGTTATATAGGCCGTACCACTAGTCGCTTTTGTTTTAACATCACGGACGGCACGTATGCCACCCTCATCTTACACATTTGATTTTATTTGGCCCAATCGCTCTGGAATTTCCCAAACTCCCTGACCGGTCAGTGAGTTTGCAAACTCCCTAGTGAATTTGCAAACTCCCTAGTGAGTTTGCAAAGTCACTGACGGGTCAGGGAGTTTGCAAACTCACTAGGGAGTTTGCAAACTCACGGATTTCTCAAACTCCCTGTAACATATATAATATATATAATATTTATATATAAATTCAGTAGAACGGACTTTTATATATATAATATTTATATGATATTTATAATATTTACATATATTCAGTAGTGTGTTCTCTTTCACCAGCCATGGTGAAAGAGTTCCATGGCCAGCACAAGCTGGAAATTCACTTAAGGACATGATGTGGAGTTTGTTAATGTAATAAGTGAATGAGGACTTAACTCCACAAAAAATCGTTCGGGTCGCACGGGTCAACGACCCGAATGATTTCTTGTGGCGTAAAGTCCTCATTCACTTATTACAAGCTGAAAAGGCAAGCCACACACGTCCAAGGTGATGGTGGTACATGGGTCGCTGTCCAACAGGCTCTTGGCTTAAGACTTGGCCATCAAGATGGGCCTAGTGGACAGACTGGAGGAGGTAGAGATGAAAAAGGTGGGCCTGATATCCACAGAACTTGTGAAAATCGAACTCCGACAACATGCTGAACCATTCTGCCTCTTCACTGCAAGAAATGTTCTATTCCCTATCCCCTATGATGGATGCAGTGAAGCAGGAGCTGGGCAGGATGGTGGATTCTGACGTGATCAGGCCTGTAACGGAACCGACCGAGTGGTGCCAGTTCCCAAGCCAAACGGAAAGGT